CATGACTGGACAGCCCTCTCACACGGCCATGTGCACTGAAGCACCTGGGAGTTTGTTCAGATGCAGAGTGTGATGGAGTGGGGCCGGGGCTGGGCCTAGGAGTTTGCTTTTCTGCTGCCGATGCCACTGGGTCCCGGACCACACACTGGACAGAGATGGTTGAGCATAAACCTTTGTCTTAGATGCTGGGCTCATGGAGAATTTAAAATCCTGGTCCTCTGCCCTTCAGGGGTTTTAGTCTCATGAAAAGAGATTAATGCTCAGAACACGGTGAGACCACAGCTAAATGTCAGGAATGTGTGACCGTGGGAGTTTAGACAGGAGGGGAAGGAGGCTTCGCGTCTGGACTTGAAGCCGTGAGACTGGAAATTCCTCCCTAGTCCCAGCGGAGGAGAAAGGGCGTTGTAGGCGTGAGTGTGAGTGGATGGCTTGGGTAAAGGCACAAGCTGGCCACCTATACTAGCCATGGCGCCTGTAACGATGACAGCAAAGCGAGCATGAGGGTCCATCTGCTATAGGACCTGTTTTATGAGCTCAATCCAGTGCTCTGCGCTCTCAGGAACCGGGAGAGCACCTTGCAAGAACGGGTCAAGGGAGACTGGGTGACTGACAGGAGTCAGCTGATCTAGTTAAAATCCATGGCCCGGATCTGTTCAGTGCCCATAGGATCTGTTTGGGATCCTAAATGATTCTGAAGGATTTCTTAAACTTTTTTTTTTTTTTAGAAGGTTACGTAGATTTTTAGTCCTTTTTCATGTGCAATGTTTCTAGACAACCCACACATCTTGAACACTCTTGAAAAATCCTTCCGAACATCCGTGATGCTAATTAAAAGGCAGCCTCGGGTGTTGGTCGGGGAGGTGCGGAGCTCAGTGTTTGGAGTGTAGGCTTCTGACTGGAGTCTTTCAAGTGGTAACCAGCCGTGCCTGCAGGGTATGTATTCCCAATTAGGGACCCGCTGATGCTAACTCACCGCACCTAGCAAGGCGAGTAAAACTAACACATGTGTACTACACGTCTGCGCTGGGGAATTTTGAATCACACACAGTATAACAGGAAGGCGTGATGATTTCAAGCTTTTACATGTTCTTAAATTATATAAGCAATGCACACTCCTTGTATAAAATTTAGGAAAAAATTTAATCACAGGATTGAAATGACTCATATTCTACCCAGAGAGAGAACTCTCAGTTCTTATACCTTTTCCATATCTGTGGTTATGGAGATACTTATACGTGTACTAGAGGCCCGCTGCATGAAATTCGTGCACTGAGGGGCCCCTCAGCCTGGCCTGCATCCTCTCGCAGTCTGGGACCCCACTGGGGGATGTCCAACTGACGGCTTAGGCCTGCTGGCCACGGGGAGTGGGCCTAAGTTGGCAGTCGGACATCCTTAGCGCTGCCGCGGAGGCAGGAGAGGCTCCGGCCACTGCTGCTGCACTTGCCAACCCAGCTCAGAGCTTCTGGCTGAGTGGCGTGAGTGCACTGACCACCAGGGGGCAGCTACTGCGTTGAGTGTCTTCCCCCTGGTGGTCAGTGTGCATCAGAGTGACCTGTCATTCTGCCATTCGGTCGATTTGCATATTAGCCTTTTATTATATAGGATGTACAGTTTTTCACACTGGGCTGAAGGATACTTGCAGTCATAGTTTGTGTTCAGCTTTGAATCCTCCTTTTGTGGCTTCAAAGAGGTCATGATCATTTTTCTGGCTCATGCAGTGTTCTCTATAAATGTGACGTTTGTTGGTTCAGACATGGGAGGAGACAGGTGGAGTAGATGTTTAGGAGGAAAATCGACCAGCTTGGTCAAGAAGTTGTATGTTGGAGTTGAGGGGGGCTTGGTTAGCGATGACTTTGAAACCCCTGGGTTAACTGCCAGGTGGGCAGTCTCCCTTCCACCGGGTAAGGCAGGTTAGAGACGGGTGTTCCTAGGCCATTTGCACACGTGTGGGATGCAGTTTCTTTCCTCTCTTCTTCTTGTGTTGATGCCTGTATTGACTTCCTGGAGAAACTTCTGATAAATATGGAGGTTTTTCTTTAAAATGTGTCTTTAGAGCACAGAGGTGTCATTTAAAAGTCAAATCCATGAAGGACTATTTTTTCACCTGCTGAGTTTAATTTCAGGTGCCAGCGTTATCATAAAATGCAAGCCAACCTTGACTCTGTTTTAAAACTTTACATAAATTGTGCGAGTTGAAACGAACGTGTGCAGATGGAGAGAGGAAAGGGAGGAAAATAAGTGTTTTAAGGAGTCTTTAAAAATATTATTTAAATATCAGTGCCACTTGAGTTCCGTTTTAAGTATATCCCTACTTTCCCCTGAGGTGTAAATTCATCTATAGCTTTCTGATTGTATTTCTAGCTATTCTACTTGACTATTTCTTGGAACAGGAGCAGACATCGGTGATATATCTGACTCTGGGGAAGGAAATACTCATAAGATGCATATAAAGGTTCGAGGTTAGATCAAAAGCAAGATGCCCCTGGAAGGAGTCAATTTCTTAGGTAGAACAGAGCCGCCCGCCCTGCCCCCATCCCTGCCTTAGGTGTGTATAACCTTTGGCCCATTAATGAATCTTTTTGGCCTTAGTTTTCCTATCCATAAAATGGGGATAAAAAATAAGTTATTTTGAGAATTAAACAAAAAAACTAGAAAAATGCTTTATACATAATAAGTGCTATAAGTTATTTTGAGAATTAAACAAATAAAAAAAAACTAGAAAAATGCTTTATACATAATAAGTGCTACTACTGCTCGTTGTCTTTATTCTTATAAGTGAACTGTTTTTTAAAAAACCCCACACAAACCATGTGATTTTAATGGGTGGTAACTCCTGAAGGAGAATTGCGTAGATAGGTTTTTCAGGTTAAATCAGCCACTTGGCTGGTCAGTCAGTACCTACTTGCTGCGATCTGTTTTCTACCAAACCCTGTGTGGGGAGCATGGGGGGTAGGGGAGAGAGAGAAAAGCACAAGGAAGACTGCTTTTGGGTCCTTAGGAAGATGGGGTTACCCTGCCAAGTGCTTGATGGGGCTTTGCCAGTCGCTCAAGGGATTTCTTATTTCAGCCTCATAACCACCCGCTCAGACTGAGGGTGTCCCTTCGCTGTATATGAATGAATGAAACAAAGCTTACCCGGGGGCCAGGTCATAGTGTGGTGCTGGGTTTGAGTCCAGATGTCTCACTCACAGCCTTCTGCCCCCAACACTCCCTGTCCTGAGATCACCAGCATTTCCCGATGATGCTCCTTCTTAGCGAAGATGCTCATTCTTAGTGACCAGCGAGGTTTGTTTGTGGGGTTTATTTCTCCTTCTCCCCTGGGGGCACTTTTCTGCAGTCAGCATCTTGGTTTAAAGGGACTTGGCTTTCCTTTCTTGTGCTCCCCCTCCAGCCCTGTGGCCTTTCATCTGTCTCAAGCATTTAGAAAAGGGTCAGAGAGGTTGCAGAGACAGCCTGGCCTCTGACGTGGAGATGGGCTCCGTGAGGTTTTATTGCCAGCGACTCGCTGAACACAAACTCCTGAAGCTCGGGAGGGTCGCCTTTGGTGAGAATCAGATTCCATTTATTCGTTCAGCAGACAGTTACCAGGCACCTGAAAGTGACGGACAGGACGCTAAGAATTAGAGATGCTGGTGAATCCGACAGGCTGCCTGTCTTCTGGAAAGACCACGGCTGGTGGGGAAGGGAGACGGTTCACCCAGACCCTTGTCACATGGGGTTTGAGGGTCCTGGCAGAGGGAAGGACCGTGTAGGAGTACCTAAGGGACACCATTCCTTGGGAATCTGAAGCCTTATATGGAGCTGCCTGGGCTCTGTGCTATCAGTTTCCCTGTGGACCTCGCTCTCCACCTACAGCCCATGTGACATCTGTGTTAGGAGGTGATGGAGATGGGATCTCATGGTCTGTTGGGTTTTTAATTCCTCTTTAGGTCATATGAGTTTCTGGTTACATACTCAGGTGAGAGGTCGCGTCCTCTACTCCATCAGTGTCGGCCGTCTCCCTCCTCGGTTCCCCGCATCTCACCAGTCCTCGGCGTGGTCTGAGGACCGTCCCTCTGCAGACGGCTGTGGGTCATCTCCACGCTCCTCCCCATTCTCTGCACATCTGCCTTGTCGTCCCTGCTTTTCTGGGCTCTTCTTCCATTTAAAGATGAGTGTGTGTGGGCTGTCCACGGCGATGGAGATCCTGTGGCCTCGCCAGTCTCCTTTCCTGGGTGTGTGTGTGTGTGTGGTCAGCCTTGTGTGCCTTCCACTGGGCTCTCTGCTGGGAAGGCGGGACCTGTTTCACCCTCCTGGCCGCACACGGAAGCGGTCAGCAGCTTCCTCATCCTTCCTGGAGGTGCCTGCCCACTGCAGCCGTCACATGCTCGGGGTGTCTGGGTGTTTTATGCTGGCCTCTCCTGTTAGACGGTGCTCTTTGACGCCAACCCTCATTCTACTTTTCCAAAACGTAGCACCTGGCTAGTGCGTGGTATCTACAAGGTGCTCACTAAATGCTTGTGTAATGAGTGTGTTAGTTCAGGCTTCAGAAGTAACCCAAGTAGAAATGCATGTGTGTGTAAGTGTGTGAGAGAGAGAGAGAGAGAGAGGGAGAGAGAGAGAGAGAGCCCTTATCATTTATTCGTTTATTTTCTAAAGAACTGTCTCTGCTTTGATAGATGGCAGGGGTGCAGCAGCATCCCTCGGCGTGTAATGAGTGTGTAAGTTCAGGCTTCAGAAGTAACCCATAGTAGAAATGCATGTGTGTGTAAGTGTGCGAGAGAGAGAGAGAGAGAGAGAGAGAGAGAGAGAGAGAGCGAGCGCGAGCCCTTATCCTTTATTCGTTTATTTTCTAAAGAACTGTCTCCGCTTTGATAGATGGCAGGGGTGCAGCAGCATCCCTCGGGAATACGGGTTAGCAGGAAGCCGTAGCCGAGTCAGCCTCCTCCCGGGATCTACAGCATGTTCTCTCTGCAATCTGCATCCATTTACAGCCCTTCCCCTCTGCTCTTCCTTCACAGGGAGTATTATGAGGGAGGCCGAGGACTCCACGCTCCGGGCAGAGAAACGGCTCTGGGATTAGGGATTGCCATTTTCGAGAGGATGCTGGGAATCTGCAGGGGGAGACGGAAATTCCTGGCTGCCTCGTTGACTCTTCTCTGCATCCCAGCCATCACCTGGCTTTACCTGTTTGCCGGGAGCTTCGAAGGTAAGAAGGAAGCTGTCGCAGAGTGAGGGGCTGGGTGGTGGGAGAAGAACGCTGGCTGTCCCAGCGTCCCAGGGAGAGCCGCCAAGCCGTCTGATCCAAGCTGGTCATTTTGTAGAAGCGAATACCCGTACCCCGTCACAGGGGAAGGCTTGTCTAGGTCGATGGAGGGAGTCAGGGATGTGAGGAGAAACAGACACAACAGCAAGATCAGGTGCACCTGGGCGCAGTGGCATGGAGGAGGTGACACAAATGTCAAAGACCGGCTTTGCGAGTGGATCGCTGTGTTGGTGACAGGCAAGGCTGGGCCCTAAAGGGATGATTTAGCTGTTCATGGTGCCAGATGTTTTATGCTTTCTTCCGTCTCTTCATTCACGTATTCACATGTTCAACATTTGTTATTACTGTCGCTGCTGCTATGGCTTACATCTTGCTAGACCAGGTGCTGGACGTGCGGTGATAACACATCTGGACCTTCACAGCTCAGTCGGGGAGACAGACAGGTGGACACACATGATTGCTGCACAGACTGTGCGTGGTGTGAGGAGGCAAGCCCAGCCCAGGGGGCTGCGGGAGGTGGGTGTCGGAGCTGTCGGCCGGGCTTGGGGGAGGGATGATCAGTCATCTGATGGCCCAGTACAGGAACGCAACAGAGGCTGGACCCTCCCCAAACAAATAGAAATGAACGGTAATCCCTGCCACTTTTCAGAAATCATTAGCAAAGGCAAGACTTGCCATTCTCCCAGCCAGCAGTTTCAAACGCTGTGCATTGTGTATCAGAGGTGGTTTTCTAAGCTTGGGGCGGAAAGGCGTGGCAGTGTTGGCGAGCACAGCTTTTTTCTATTTACCCCCACACTTGAGTTAAAAGGGAAAAATTAACTCAAAGGGAAATCTGACTCGAGGAAGTCAAGTACTGTGTTTTTAAACATGTTCTTTATGCATAATTTTATTGACAGCTCAAGGCTACCTTTTAATTAGGAGTTGCACTTCACTTTCCGAGATGTGCCCTGAGTGAGCCAGACTGAATATAAAGGAGGCAGGACTGAGTGCGGGCATGGCAGGGAGAGGCCCCGAGCCACACCCCTGCCCCTCGCCTGCCCCTCCCTGCCCCTGCGTCCCTGCAGGTGGTGGAGCTTTCATCTAAGGGGCTGGAGAGAAGGAATTACGCCAGGGCGGTGTGGATGGATAATTTTCCTTAAAGGGATCGGAGGGAGGAAGGTGAGCTGGTGATGAGCCTAGGAGAGATATAAGGAAGCGTTTTTCTAGGGGTGATGGAGGAGCCCTAATAAAACAAGGCTATGAAGGGCTGGCGCCTGACTCGGTTTAATACATTAAAACATTGACTTTCATAGTATAACTAGATTGCTAATAGTTCTATATAATAAAAGGCTAATATGCAAGTTGTCCCCTCGACCGGGAGTTCAACCAGGGGGTGAGGCCAACCACCCTCTGCCCCTCCTCCCTGCCAGCCCGGCCCGATCGGTCCCAATTGGGGCTGGCCGGCTGGATCCCACCCATGCACGAATTCGTGCACCGGGCCTCTAGTAATACTGTAACGATAATGAGGATGATGGCAACAATATAAGCTATTAGTTTTCTGAGCATTTCTACCTGCCAGACATTGTTGTTAGGACTTGACGCGTTAGGATTTTTTCACAAGAATCCTGTGTAATAGGTAGGGATGAGGAGGTGGGGGAGGTAAACTTCAGGGATCTGCCCAAGGCCCCAAAGCCAGTCAAGATGGGGCCTGGATTATTGGACTCGAGAGCTGGAGTTTTTAGCTCTAAAACCATGTTATAGTTGGGGCCTCAGTGAGGTAGCAGACTTTGGCAAGGGGTTTGACAGGGTGTCACATGACGTTTCTGGGTGCTGTGAGGGAAATTGCAGAATTTTTATTTGCACTCATTGATAGAAACTTAACCCTAAAAGGTTTGGGCAAACAGGGAATTTGGGGGCTAACAAAACTTGTAAGTTCAGAGGTAGAGCAGGCTTCAGGTAGGGTTGGATCCAGGGGCTCAAGTGATATCTGTGTGGCTCAGTCTCTCTTCATCCCTTTGCTCTGCTTTTCTCTTCTGTGGTTTCTTTCAGGGTATTTTTTCCTACGTGAAGAAAGCTTTATTTATGACTTGTCTTCTGCAGACCCTATAGAAAGAGGAGTTCCCCCTCCCCCAACTCTCCAGGCTTGCCGCTGATTGGATTGCCTCTAGTTGCTTGTCCAGAGACCAGTCAGTGACTGGGGAGGCTGGGGATGGCAGCCCTGAGCCCTGTGCCTGTTTCTGGTCATGGGGTAGAGAGGAGTTCCCCTGAGGGAGGGGTGGCCCCAAAGGCGAACGGTACGTTTTCTCGGAGGAGAGAATAGAAGCTGATCTGCGTTAGGAGCGTTCATGACTGGCTGTGCTTCGCGGTGTGTTGATGTCCACCTGAAGACTCTTCCCAGCATCACGCTGTCTTTCCCACGCTGGCTGGTGGGGTGACTGTGATCCTTGACGCTGAGTGATTTTATTAGCCTGGCAGGTAGGTTACAGGGAGGATTGAGGAAATACTCTGCATCCACACGCACCAACTGGGGTAGGCACTGTACCTATAACCGTGAAGCTTAACAAGAAGTCCTACCTTGGGACCAAATCAGAAGCTGCTGTAAGTCGGGGGTGGGTGATTGGGTACATTAACAGACATGTTCTAGCTAGAATGGTAGAGGTGACAGATTTCTTTACAGGTAGCAGTCCACAGTGAGGCCACGGCATTTGTTTCCTGATGCTGTACTGTCAGAACGGTCTAGGTACAGCTGCACACTTAGGCGAATCGAGGTGAATGATTGTGCCGATTCAAGCCTGGCTCCACTAGACACAGTGGGAAGAATTGAGGCTCCGGGTGTGTGTGTCAGCTTCAGCAAACAGTCAAAGGGCTGTCACCTGCCAGAGGTCAGGATGACTCTGATGGCCCTGAATCCATGGAGGGGTGTGGCAGGGAGCCCGGAGTCCAGCTTATCATAATGAGGATCATTCTGTCCCCTGCTGGCCTGAGCTGCCCTGGGAGGAGTGAAATGCATGCCATGAGGCGTGTGCAAACACAAGGCAGTACAGGGGAGGGAGTGAGCATGGGGGACAGTCGGACAGGATCACCTGGGGGAGGGAGTGAGCATGGGGGACAGTAGGACAGGATGACCTGGGGGAGGGAGTGAGCATGGGGGACAGTAGGACAAGGTGACCTGGGGGGAGGGAGTGAGCATGGGGGACAGTAGGACAAGGTGACCTGGGGGGAGGGAGTGAGCATGGGGGATAGTAGGACAAGGTGACCTGCTGACCTCCTGACCCAGACATCCTGAGACTAGTGAAGGCTGAGTGTTTGTGGGGTCATGGAGGCTACGTGGAGCCCCAGCCGTTGCTGCAGACATAGGTGCTCTCCCAGCTGGTCCTGCGGAGACATTCTTGTCCTGTAAACACAACTTTGCAATCTATTTATTGACACCTTGAGTTTTCTGTGTCAAAGCCGGTGGGGCCATAAATAAGGCACAGAGTTGCTGTCTGCGTTCATGGCAGTGCTGTTCATTCTTAATGGGGGTTATTTACTCTCCACCCTGTTTAATTTCAGTGAGTCTCCTGAGAGCCGAGCCTAGAACGCTCCCTGAGATGGGGACTCTGAGCATAAGGTGGATAAGATGGGGACAAGCAGCTGCAGGATGAATTGAGGGAGCGTGGGGTGGGGTCGTGCATCTCAGGCCCTGGAATCAGCCGGATCTGCTGGGGGTAGGGACCCAACCACTCCCCTTTCTAGAGCTGTATCTCCCCTGATGTGAAATGATGTAAAAATGAGGCACTCCTCGTGGGGCGTTAACATTCTATGAGGTTATGCTTCTAAGTATTTAACGTGAGTTAGAAAGGGCCAGTCTTGTCCAGGCTGGTGTGGCCCAATGGTCGGGTGTCGACATGTGAATGAGGAGGTCAGGGTTCAGTTCCTGGTCAGGGCACATGCCCGGGTTGTGGGCTCGGTCCTCAGTAGTGGGCGTGCAGGAGGCAGCCCATCAATGGTTCTCTCTCATTATTGATGTTTCTATCTCCCTCTCCTTCTCCCTTTCTTTCTGAAATAAGTAAAAATAGCTTTTAAAATATTACTTAAAAGTTAAATAACTAGTGGTATATTTATCTAGTGAAGTACTATGGAGCAATGAATGTGAATATACTCACAGAAAGTGTTGAGCAAAAGAAGACAGACACAGCCCTAGCGTGTTTGGCTCAGTGGATAGAGCATCAGACTGCGGACTGAAGGGTCCCAGGTTCGATTCCAGTCAAGGGCACATGCCTGGGTTGCGGCTTTGTCCCCAGGGGGGGCATGCAGGAGGCAACCGATCAATGATTCTCTCTCATCATTGTTGTTTCTATCCCTCCCTCGCCCTTCCCCTCTGAAATCAATAAAACATTAAATACAAAAGAGAACATACTGTAGGACTCCAATTATATAAATACAAAAATAGGCAAAATTAATCTGGGGGTAGAGACCAGGGCAGGGCATAAGGAAGACTTTGGGGTGCTGGTAATAATTTATTTTTTAACCTGTGTGATAATTATTTGGGTGTTCATTTTGTGACAGTTTACAACACTCTTCATTTATGGTTTGTTCACTTTTCTGCATGTTATGCTATTTAAAAAAAATTTATGTCTTGATAGTTCAATAAGTATCTGAATTTGAAGAGATTTTTGTGGGTTTTGTATTCTGTTCGGATGAGAGGAATTTTCTGAGCCTTTGGGTATTTCGAATCTATGTCACTGCTGAACTTTGAAATTCAAATGCTTTCTAAGCATGAAACTTCCCTTTTGGGATAGATGTTGACCATTTTTATTTAACCACACTTCCTTTCTTCCTTCCCGATGGGCCTCACCATTTGGACACAGGTTCCCCCCAGGAGGGTCTGATCACAGCACTGACTTCAAGGTCTGACATTCGCTCAGAGAACCCTAATTCTGAAAGGGTGTTTCCATCAGTTTGAAACAAGACCAGGACAGGCG